GCTATTAACATTTGTCATTTCAGCCCACAAAATCATTGGCACACTTTGACTCATTTGAATAAAACCATTATTAAAGTTAAACAATTTAGACATAAAAAACTTGACAGATGAAAATACATGACACCTGTGCTTCCTGGCTTTCTTCCACAGTATTCATGTGGACTTCAAATGCCTTAAAAGGAGACTGTGACATGCAGTCATCTTTCTGTGGTCACATTTTGCAGCCAGTTTAAAGACAAACACCAAGCAGTTCTCAGCTAACAACAAGCTGGATGTTTTCCCACAGGTCGCCATCATTAGATCGTGACGTTATTGTCAGTGTGGTTAGCTCTCTATGTGTAAAGGTGGTTTTCCTGTTTAGCATCTCTGCTCTCTGCCTTTTTCAGCTGTTATGGACACAAACTCCTCTCCAATGGGATGCTAATGTTGCTCTGTGGAAGTAGTCGACTGTTTGTTACCATGTTTGTTATAACAGCTTCATAAGGTGATCATGTCTTTGTCTTTTAGTCAGTTATTTCAGGTTCTTTCTTGTACTGGCACAGAATAGAGGGAAGTTTGATCATGCTCTATATTTAAATAACCTTAACCATCAGTGGGCATTAACCACAAGAAGACAAAGACAATAATGTCCGGTTTACACATCCTTTTCTCAGAATTAAACAGTGTTTGTTGGTTCAGTCACTTCAGTCTGTGTGAGGATGAAGATCTACAGCTGCCTGTTAGCCTTTGTTCTGTGCTGTAATGTCAGCGCAGGTAAGAACTTTCAAATTATTTAAAATCTTGAATCCCAACCCATAAACACAAGATTTTAACTAGCAATCATGCTCATGCCACTGCTCTGCTGATAAAATGATTTTTCAATATTAATTTTAACGCAGGTTAATGTCAACAGCTCTGCTGTGTATTTGGCTGCTGAACACTGAGAATAAACGATCACAGAGTTAGTTTGAGGAGACTAAAGGTTTTTTAACTTTTACAACCACACACAGATTTAGGAAAACCTTCGATTTGTGACGAGAAAACTGCCATTTCCAAGTTAAACCGGCTTAGTGCGGATGTTCTCTAAATAGATTCAGTTAGGTTTATGTTAAAACCTTCAGGTCTGAACGTCACACACAGCAGCTTCATAAGTGAACCACAGAAGGCTAAGCTTCATATGAATCTCAATCTAGAATATGTCTCAAAATATATTTTATAACTTTGGACCCTACACTCTCAAAATGTTCTTTTGCCTTCTAGATAAATAACTCTGGATTTATTTTGTTTGTTCATTTTTGATAAAAGTGTCCTTCTTCAATGTGCATCCACTGCATTAGTCTTACCGTGAACACACTGTAGATCCGAGAGTTGCTCACAGAAATACTGCTTTTCTTAAAATGCATGCATATTTAATGAAAAATGTTTTTCTTTTACAGAGAAAAAGCATAAAATAATCAGGCCGAAGGACTCCGTCATCACTCTGCCATGTCCTCACCCTGTGGAGGGTAAAGTGACGTGGAGCAGAGAGACAAACGGAAACAGAGTTGACATACTTACAGTTGATGGAGACAGAGACATAAGACACATTCATGACCCACTGAAACGATACAGTTCATCAGCAGATAAGTCACTTCACATCAGCAACGTTACTGTCTCAGACACTGGAACATACTTCTGTAATAATGAAGCAGCTGTGGAGCTGACGGTGATCACACCACCAGGTAACATCAAACTTTAATAAAGTTGTTCTATTTTCAGTATGAATGAAAGCATGAATATGTTTCAGTTTATTCTTTTATTTTTTTATTTTTTTCAATGTTAATATGTAGTAAGTTGGGGAGTGGTTTTAGAGTCACAACAAAATGGACGTGGTGTAGTTCGCTTTTCAATCATTGTGAATCATTTTGTGACGTATTAAAGATGTTGTAATATCTATTTCTGTAAGGAGAGCTGAAGAGAGAAGGAAACTTCTGGGAAGTAAAAAGATGAAAGTCCCACTGACATTTTTAACTATTCTTAAAACTAAAACTTAAGCCGTAGAACAAAGCCTTTCTCAACAGTTTGTTGTTGTAATCATTCAGAATGTGCAGGTTCTGACCCCAAGCAAAGTCAGAGGTCAGAATTTCCCCCTAAAATTTCCAACATCCAACCTCTACTTTCCAGGTGCACGATGCCAAATCAAACAACAAACATGGCTGTCAGTGTCAAACGGATGTTTCTTTGTTAGTGTTCACACATCTGAACACTCAGCATGGCCATGGTGTTAAAGATTTAAGATTTATTACTAAAAATCAGTTGATGTTGTATATTTTCTATTGTTCTCACAGTTTTTTGCATTTTCAACATTTTCTGAAACAACCTAAAAGCATGAAAAGAAAATGATGTAACTCTCTACAACATTCAATGATTTATATATGTATTGATTCAAAATTAATCTAAAATGTGTTTCTATATGTCTGATCATTATAGGAACATCTACAGTTTCCACCACTCAGCCAACGATGAGTGATCAACCTCTGACCGCCTGTGAGTGAGATTGTGCTTAAAGGTGTACTACAATAGAAAACTGTATTTACCTCGGCATAGTTGAATAAAAAGAGTTCAGTACATGAAATTGACATTAATCTCCATTGTTTTCTCCTTCGTATGTAAATCTTGTGTATGCAAAAGACCGCGGAACACAGGTGAAGGCCAACAAGTGCTAGAACATTTACATCCCACAAAATTTACATATACCAGCCCACGTTCCAAAAAGAGATAAAATCTTAATATGAAAAGTGTTTTGTAACTACAGCTGTCCAAACAACTGTACTACAATTAAAAGTACAATAGTGGAATAAAAGTATAAAACAGCCTAAAATAGAAATTATGAATTGTACAGTACAGACTGAAGTAAATAGTTTTATCCAGACGTTGCCAAACTCTACTGCTGTATACCTGACATGTATTATGTCTGTATGTACTGTTTCATTTGGTAAGTAGTTTTTACTTTGTCTTCCATCTGCTCCTGAAGACCGGCGACTACTTCATGGTGTGTTGTTTGGAATAGGTATCGTCCTCCTCGTGCTCCTCCTCCTCCTCATCGTCTTGTTCACTAGGAGATACAGACAAGGTAAATAAACCAGACCTGGACTTTATGTGAACTGTGTTTATGTGTTTTTGGTTGAAAAATGTTAAACTGTCTTCGCAGCATGATAAAAAAATTAGAAAACAAAGGAATATTATAATTTTACCCTGGTAGACTTTGCATTGGGATCACAAAACTTGGGAAAACAAATGTATAATGGAGTTTTATGGGTGAAACACTTTTTGTGCTATAAAGGATCTATCTTGCAGTAGTGACAGTAGCTGCTTGGACAAACTGGAAGCAACGCTGAGTGGTGGCACCATATCTAGCTCTTTGAATACAGCCATGTTTTCACAGATAGAAGAATCACAGTCAGCCTGATTTTAAAGCAGTTAATCTCTGATCATTCATTAATCTCTGATGTTCACAATTGTGATTGGCAGGAAATGAAGGAAGACACCATGTCTATGATGATGCACTGATGAATGGATTAGAGTCTCAAACTACTAATAGTAAGACATGATTTTTATTTTTATTTTATCTCTATCTAATCTAAAGTTAAACTCAGAGCAAGCAACCATTTCCTGAAAGACGAGTTCCTGCCAGTCTTTCGAAAACCCAGAAACACTAAATGCAACTTTAAGGGAATTTCTTCAAGATCTCTTCTGTCCATCTGGTTTTAAAACATCTTCCTTCCTCTGCACAATAAATAAGATTTTTCAACTGTTTCCCAAGTTGCAACTCTATTTTTGATGATAGCACAGTCAACCTGATATCATCAAAAGGTGTATGAATAACGTGCCGATACCTTAAGTCATTTCACGTTTTATTTCAACGCATTTTGTGCTTTCATTGTCATTTCACGCTGTTTAGCCTGTACTAGTGTTGTAGTACTCGAGACGGGTCTTAAGACCTTAGATCTTGGTCTCGTCTCGAAATCGGACATTGAGGACTCAGGATTTTATTTTAAGACCATAACTTTGGGAATATCAATAAATTGCTTTTGCATGGTCTGATTTCTTTGTTAACATGCCAACTTTGATTGGATGTAAAACCAATAACCCTGATTAAAATGTGCTGACAATGGAAAAGGAGTGTTGAATGAAGATGCTTACGTTGATTTCAGCTTTCAGTGTATTTGGGTGTTTTAATGTGACGTTAGTCTTTAAGAGACTAACATTATCATTTGATGAGAAGTCTACCTGTAACCTGCCCTTTCCTCTGCTGCGCATTACATTATTGATCCGCTGGTAGTAACGTTTTCCCGTTTGACCGTCGCAGTTTGGAACTGCATTTTGCATGTGAAACCTTGCGTGATCAGGCAGAAATCTCACCACAAACCCACACACGTTAACTTCAGCAGCCCCAATAAAGTGCAGCTCACAGTCCCAAACAGAGCAGGTTGCGCTTCAGTTTTTAGATGTTTATGTTGCAAAACTCTACCAGCTAGGTCACCACTCGTCAAAGCTGTCTTAACTCACAGCTGGAGCAGTTCAGTAGATTACTATCATGGCGTACGCCGGTGTGGCGTCAGCTGACAGAATGAACGTGTGGCTTGACAGCGTGTGAAAAATGTCAATTGCGTTAATCTTGTGAGACAGCTTTTTCCCTGACGAGATATCTCGTCACAATTTAATGTCGCGATATCTCGTGGCATGAGATCTCGTCACACCCCTGTAAGTAAGCGATTGTGAAAAGCTTAACATGCGTTGACATGGCATGCAAACTGTGCTTAACAGTAGCATGCTATTTATACGCCATCCCATGATCACGTTGGCACAGTCATGACCACTTTTACAGAAAAATCCACCACCTTAAACTTAACTGTCCATGTTATGGAGTGTTTTTGTGTTTAGCGCCACAGTGTAACTTTATTTTGAGATAAAAAAGAAAAATTAACAAATGTGTCATCATGGCTCTGTGCACTAACTATGTTTGTTATTTATAATTTATAGAGACATTTCATCATTGGGATTCAAAAAACACCTCATAATAACTCACAAATAGAAGATGATTGAAATATTCAAATATTTTGTACACTTGTGTCGCACCAGTGTCATTTATTGACATAAATTTAGATGTCTCGAGTCAAAATAGCCCCTTTTATGCTAAGTTAATCCAAAACCCCCCACAGACGGGAAACAGTACAGGTAAAGCCTGACCGCTCATCAACACACATTTTAACCAAATATTCTAGATGCTTGTTGCTGTTTATATTAATTACATATTATATCTTCTGACAGACACAACTCTAGCGAATGAGGAGCCATATTCTTTGATTTGGGAAACCAAAGCCTGATGGAAATGAAAAAGGTGACTTTAATCATTATATATCTTTAACACTGGGTGGGAGGAATTTAATGTGTTAAATTAAATAAAGTACGATTTCCTAATTGAGCTTAAAAAGGAGAGCAAATGGCACATCAACAAAAACTAACTTTAAAAGTTTAGATAACTGGAACAAAACTGAATTCTGTTTTCTCATCAACAGGTACATCACAGCTGCTTTGGAATGAAATAATCTGAGAGCACAAAGTTTCCGTTTAGAGAATAAAAAAAGTTGAAATATAGGAATCCATTGTTGCAACTTCTGGGAAGTAAGAAGACGTCACTCTGTCTCTCCTGTTTAACTGAATCTCTCAGAGCTTGTGGGTTTGTAGGAACAGCAGGTTTATCCCACTTCTGCATTAATCCTGCGTTGCTTTTTGGATTACAGTATGTACTTTTCTTAGGACAATACACTGACACACCGACACATTGATCATATAGTGGATTTAAGTTCATTAAAACTAAATAAATGAAACAACATAATTTGTCCCTCTTAAAAAAGAAAGTAACCAAATGTATTTACACAGATTTCCTGTTACCTTGTTTTTAAATACACTTTTCCATTTATGTTACACAGTTATGCAAAAACAATTATGTAACTTTATTACAATATAAGATACATGAGGCGAATGAACAATAGAAGATAACTCGTCTTCATGTTTAAATATTACCACACTCTTTAGAACAACGCACCTGCATTTCTGACAAAGGACAATAGTGTAGAATCAAAACAGCGCGACAAGCAGCGCATGCTCTGTCAGGAAAGGCGGCATCGTGTTAAAGTTAGCAGAATGAACAAAATGAACTTCATAAAAACACAGCAAAAAGTATTTTGTCTGAGAAAGTGGAGAGGAAACCTCAGGAACAGGTTTTTCAGCTCGACAGATGAATGAAATTGAGTTACAGTGACTTCAACACCACCTTCTTCCCAAGTAAAACAAACCATGTCTGTTTCTCTTCCAGCTGATCCTTACCTGTGGGAAACAGCTGTTCATATTGTGGTTGGAATACTCTGTTTAATCATCATACTCAGCATCACTGTCACTTCCTGGAGAAAAGTTGAACATAGTTTGACCTGCAGGTGGTTTTGTGGGTCTGAAAATACTCTGTATCATAATCAGTAATGTTTAGAAACTCAAAGAAGATTTCAATATTTGGAAAATAAGTCAAGAAATAATTTGATTTTCAACAACTAGCACGCCCTCACAGTGTTTATACTTCGGCTTTGTACAAAGGTGAATTGTGCAAAATGTAACTGAGTCACACTAGTGAGTGCATTTTGGGCATTTCAACTTATCATGTTGATCAAATTGATCAGCGCAGATCACATCTCGTCCATCATCTCCATGTTTATCTTCTCTCTCTTGCAGCTCGACAGACACAGAGGCAACACAGCAGCAACAGAAAATGATCCTCCATCACACAGAAACGAGAGCAGTAACTGAGCCGTGTTCAGCGTTCATCCTCAGACAGCTTTCAACACTGTGACGACTAGTTTCCCTTTTTCAGAAAAGTTGGGATACTTTCCAAAATGCAATAAAAACAAAGATCTGGGATTTTTTAAATTCACATGAACCTTTAGTTTCAATAGTTTTACTGACCAGGGTAATTGTAATAGTATTTTTTGTAAAAATAAGTTAGTTGGGACAGAGGCATTGTGTTACATCACCTTTCCTTTTAATTCCACCTTTTCATACCATCACAGATACTGCTTTTGCAACTTTTACTGAGAACACTCTGGATGGTCACTGTCTTTTGTTCCATCTGAGATGAACTCAGGCCCAGAAAAGTCGCCAGCGTCTCTGCCTACCACTGATGTGTGGATTCCTCCTTGTATTATTCAGGTTGCATTTCTGGATGTTCACCAATATTGGCACAAAGGAGCCCCGACCCTGCAGACTACATGACTTTCAATGTCGGCAGATCGCTGGGCTGTTCAGACTACACAACTTGCCAGCTTGTGTCGGGAGTCTCGCCGTCGTTCCCACTCCGTGACTTATCGGTGACAGGAGGTCACACAGTACGCTATTAGACAACAACTCTGTCACCCGAGGGCTGGTCTCATAACCACGTTTTGTCAAGAAAACACACGTGAAACGTGGCAGGCGAAATGACGTGAAACTACACATGAAACATCTGTTGTTTGTTCTTATAAAGACAAAGAATCTGGGTGAAAGAACGGTTTAGCACACGCAGGTAGCAGGGATTGTCTGAGCTACAGAGAGCTGGAGGGGAGTAAAAAGGGTTTTGTTGAGTTTGTTGCAGGCATAAAATTCTAACTTTACAAAATAAGATTATGCTGGTCAGTAAAACTACTGAAAATCCTTTATTTGTACTTTTTTTTAAGTCAAATAAAGGTTCACGTGATTTAACAAATTAAAACTTTTTCTGTATTTTCTGTATCCAAAGTTTTCTGGAAATGGGGTTTGTAGTTTACAAGCAGCATATATATTTAAAGAGGTCGTGGACTTGACCATAGGGTTATGTTCTCTGTTGCCTGTAAAGTTCCTCTGCTCCCTTGAGATGTTAATCCAAAAGAATATTGGTTATATAAAGTCTTTTCTATCTTGTAATGTTACAATCTTTGTTAGTTCATTGGTCATTTTGAATGAAATATTTTTCTGTTTCTTACAACTTTGTCACCACCGTCAGTGTTTGTCAACTCTTTCTGTTTTGTTCCACAGTATTTGTCTATAAAATTGTTGCATTTTCAATGTTAATGTGTAATTTCAATGCTTCCAAGTATCTCTTAGATATTTATTACATATAACCTAAACCGTAACCATTACACATTGACTAATCTAACTTTAAAAAGGTTCATTTAAAATTATTTTATAGACATTTCTATGTTTCTGATGGTTTTGACAAAAATCTAGTGCTGATCCTGCAAACATGTAATTTATGAAGAAAACTGGGAGGTTGTTTCTAGACAGAGTTTTTTTAGAAAATCAAAACCTGGCCATGTTTGTTAATCATTAAAAAAAGCATATATACAGTACGTCTAAGTTTTCTTTGTACACATATAAGATATGATGCTTCTACCCTCCACATGTTTTCAGAAGCCACAACCAAATGCCACAAAGACATGATTTCCCAAAACGTTCTCACTCCCAGCTTTACACATATGGACCCCTCAAGAGTCACTTTTGCACACGTAGGGCTCCGTGGTCAAGTTAGCAATAATAAATAGGCAACGTCCGGTTAGCCTTTCAAAATAAAACTAGTGGTTCACGTTGTGAAACGTGGCAGTTTGGTTGGGTTTAGGCAGAGGCGTAGCACGAAATTCTGGACCCTGTACATAGTCATTCTTTATTGGCCCCTCCCCACATCCACAGCTATTCATTCTAGTATCTTTGTGGGTCCCACTCACTTGAAGGTATACTTGCCCCCCCAAAGTCCTGCACCCCAGGGCTTAGGTACCAGGACCACAACTATTAAGTTAGGTGGCATGCGATGGCGCAGTGGATAAGATGCCTGCCTTTGGTGTGAGAGACCCGGGCTCAATTCCCACTGTGGCACATCCACTACTGTGTCCCTGAGCAAGACACTTAACCCTTAGTTGCTCCAGAGGGGTGTGACTTCTGACATATATAGCAATTGTAAGTCGCTTTGAGGTAATTACATAAGTAATGTAAATCCACAGACTCACCTGTGCTTCCTGGCTTTCTTCCACAGTATTCATGTGGACTTCAAATGCCTTAAAAGGAGACTGTGACATGCAGTCATCTTTCTGTGGTCACATTTTGCAGCCAGTTTAAAGACAAACACCAAGCAGTTCTCAGCTAACAACAAGCTGGATGTTTTCCCACAGGTCGCCATCATTAGATCGTGACGTTATTGTCTGTGTGGTTAGCTCTCTATGTGTAAAGGTGGTTTTCCTGTTTAGCATCTCTGCTCTCTGCCTTTTTCAGCTGTTATGGACACAAACTCCTCTCCAATGGGATGCTAATGTTGCTCTGTGGAAGTAGTCGACTGTTTGTTGCCATGTTTGTTATAACAGCTTCATAAGGTGATCATGTCTTTGTCTTTTAGTCAGTTATTTCAGGTTCTTTCTTGTACTGGCACAGAATGGAGGGAAGTTTGATCATGCTCTATATTTAAATAACCTTAACCATCAGTGGGCATTAACCACAAGAAGACAAAGACGATAATGTCCGGTTTACACATCCTTTTCTCAGAATTAAACAGTGCTTGTTCGATCAGTCACTTCAGTCTGTGTGAGGATGAGGATGAAGATCTACAGCTGCCTGTTAGCCTTTGTTCTGTGCTGTAATGTCAGCGCAGGTAAGAACTTTACTTAAGTTTTTTATTTTATCCAGCAGTCATGTTCAAGCTTCTGCTCTGCTGATATAATTATTTTAAAATGTTAATATTAACGCAGGTTAATGTCAACAGCTCTGCTGTGCATTTGGCTGCTGAACACTTGCGCTGAAAATGACCGATCTGGCGTGGGGACCCGCTCTTGACCTAGGGACATGGGGACTCGGGCTTGTGGCCTTTGCACATTTCTGGGCGGGTGGTGTTTCCCTGGGCCTGGGGGCCCGCTGTCTCCTCTCCTGGGCCCTCTTCGGCAGGGGTGAGGCTCCTGCTGCTTCCCCCTGCCAGCTATCTCACAGTGGGGGCATTTGGGAGTCTCTGGGGCGCATGGCCTGCGTTGTCAGGGTATGTTTTGGTGCTCCTCCTTGTGGGTGCTTGACTTGGGGGGCTGGGCCCCCGTCCAGGGATGATATCGGCCTCGGGGGCTGCTGGCACTGCCTGCACTGTAGGGAGGAATGCCTCTGGCTGGGCTGGGGGACCGTTGGCCTGGTTCTCCCGCGTTATCGCTCCCTGGCGGCAGGGAGCTTCCCGGCACGGCTTTCTGCTGTTCTTCCTTGGGGCGGGGTACAGCTTCCCCCGGGACATGCGGTCTGGGGTCCTTTGTGCTTTGGGGGTCGCAGGGTGCCCTGGCTTCTGGGGGTGGGGGTCTCTGCGCGGGTTGATCCGATTGCAGCTTGGTGGGCTGCGGTTGGATTGTGGGGCGATTGTTGTGCTTTTTCCCTGGGCAGGGTCTCTGAATGGCTGCTGGGCGTTTAGTTTGTGCATTGGAGTCCGGGGGAGTCATTTCCTTGTTGGCTTGGAGGGACAAGTTTGCGTCCCTGTTTTGCTTCGTTGGCCTCGGATCCGTGCTTCCCCATTTCTCTGTCGGCCAGTTGTTGGACCCCTCTGGATACTGAGGTATATAGTTAGTTTTCGGGATGTGCAGTGTGGGTGCGGGGCAGGGCTGTGCTCCGGTTTGTTCTGGGTTTGTGCCTGGAGTTCTCGGCCCTTGACAGGTGGGTGGGTTGTTGGTGGCATGCAGCTGAGCTAGTTGATTTTGCCTCATTGCTGGATGTCGGCTGGCGCCGGCGGCCTTAGTTTCGGCGGTTGGGGGGACGGCGGACTTTTATTGGCGGGTGCACGGTGACCTGTGCGGCGCGTTTGCTGCCGGGCTGGGACTTGCTGCTGGTGTTTCTCTCCGCTGGCTTTCGCTGTCGTGTTGTTCCGTTTGCTCTCTCTGGTTTGCCCGACCTCGCACGCGGGATTCGAGGGGGGCTGCTGGGCATTGGGTGTTGCCGTGCTCGCACAGTGTGCTCGTTTGGCTCGTCACTTGTGCATTGGTGTTGATTGCGTGGCATGTGGGCATTTTGGTTGTTCGCTGCATGGCGGTGGGGTGCTGGGTGGGGGGGGGGCACTGGTCTATGTTGTGTGCGCGCCGCGGTCGGTCCGGGCGCTGCTTTTCCGCGGGTTACGCTTCTTGCGTTCCGTCGGCATTACGTTGTCAGCTGGCATTTGGGTCGGCGTCTTTGTTTTTTGTTTTTTTCTTTCTCCCACCCCTATTGGCTACTGGGGTTCTTGCCTGTCTGTTGCTGGGGTCGGTGTGGCGCAGTCGTGGCGTCCCACTCTCACTAACAACTACATTCTTTAACAGGCTTATGCGCACACACATGTACACACACACACACATACAGACACATTCACCCACACGCACACAGACACAAACAAACTTAGGTTTTCCCTGGTAGAATTATTCCTGATGCTTTTCTTTCAGTTACTTATTTAAATTAATTATTATTCCAGCTCTCGTGGCTGTGCTGTGTTTCTTATTTAGTGTGTGTGACTGTTTCTTCATTTTTCTCTTAGTTGTCTTACTATGTCAGCTGTTTATTGCTGCTGTTCGGCTGGTTGTCTTTTACTATTATTATTATTTTTATTGTTTGTTGTTGTTCTTCTCCTCCCCAAGCCCCCCTCTCTGTTCTATTGCAGGTTTCGTTGCTTTCTGCAATTGGTGTTTCCCACAGCTTTTCCCTGTTGTCCCCACCTTCCATCCCCCTTCTCTTACAGGTGTTGTCCTTTCTCTGTGCTGTCTGTTTGTGCCCCCCCACCCCCGTGTCTGCCCCCCTGTCCGGCCCGGTGACAAATCAATACATAATTAAATAAATAATAAAACAGACAAAGGAATATTTTAATACTCTCTTGTTAAAGTAAAATCTGTCTGGCACAATATGGTATCCAGGTCATTATACTCTATACCAGGCT